CGCTGCCCGAGCCCGAGCCCGAGGGCGAGACGCTGCCCTCCATGCAGTTCTTCGTGGTGGGTCCTCCCTCCCCGCGGCCAGCGGGGGCGCCGGGAAGCGCCGGCCCTTGGCCTTCCTCATCCCTTGACCACCTTCCTCCTCCCTTGACCTCCTTCTTCCTCCCTTGACCTTCCTCCTCCCTTGGCCTTCTTCGTCCTCCCTTGATGTTCTTCCTCCCTTGACCTTCTTCCTCCTCCCTTGACCTTCTTCTTCCTCGACCTTCTTCCTCCTCCCTTGACCTCTTTCCTCCTGCCTTGACCTCCTTCCTCCTACCTTGACCTTCTTCCTCCTCCCTTGACCTCCTTCCTCCTGCCTTGACCTTCTTTCTCCTCCCTTGACCTCCTTCCTCCTGCCTTGACCTTCTTCCTCCTCCCTTGACCTCCTTCCTCCTGCCTTGACCTTCTTCCTCCTCCCTTGACCTCCTTCCTCCTGCCTTGACCTTCTTCCTCCTGCCTTGACCTCCTTCCTCCTACCTTGACCTTCTTCCTCCTCCCTTGACCTCCTTCCTCCTGCCTTGACCTTCTTCCTCCTCCCTTGACCTTCTTCCTCCTCTCTTGATCTCCTTCTTCCTCCCTTGACCTCCTTCCTCCTCCCTTGACCTTCTTCCTCCCTTGATCTCCTTCTTTCTCCCTTGATCTTCTTCTTCTTTCTCCCTTGACCTTCTTCCTCCCTTGATCTTCTTTTTCCTCTTTTGGTCATCTTCTTTCTCCCTTGGTCTTCTTCCTCCTGCCTTGACCTTCTTCCTCTGTTGACCTTCTTCTTCCTCCCTCGGTCTTCTTCTTCCTCCCTTGATTTTCTTCCTCCCTTGACCTTTTTTCTTCCTTGGCCTTTTTCCTCCCTTGGTCTTTTTCTTCCTCCCTCGATCATCTTCCTCCCCTGACCTTCTTCCTCCTCCCTTCACCTTCTTTTTTCTCCTTTGACCTTCTTCTTCCTCCCTTGACATTCTTCTTCCTTCTTCACCTTCTTTTTTCTCCTTTGACCTTCTTCTTCCTCCCTTGATCTCCTTTTTCCTCCCTTGACCTTCTTCCTCCCTTGATCTTCCTCCTCCCTTGACCTTCTTCTTCCGTTGGTCTTCTTTTTCCTCTTTTGGTCTTCTTCTTTCTCCTTTGGTCTTCTTCCTCCTGCCTTGACCTTCTTCCTCTGTTGACCTTCTTCCTCCTCCCTCGGTCTTCTTCTTCCTCTCTTGATCTTCTTCCTCCCTTGACCTTTTTTCTTGCTTGGCCTTCTTCCTTCCTTGGTCTTTTTCTTTCTCCCTTGATCATCTTCCTCCCCTGACCTTCTTTCTCCTCCCTTCACCTTCTTTTTTCTCCTTTGACCTTTTTCTTCCTCCCTTGACTTTCTTCCTCGGTCTTCTTCTTCCTCCCTTGATCTTCCTCCTCCCTTGATCTTCCTCCTTCCTTGACCACCTTTCTCCTCCCTTGACCTTCTTCTCCTTCCCTTGACCTTCTTCTCCTTCCCTTGATGCTCCTCCCTTGATCTTCCTCCTCCCGTGACCTCCTTCCCTTGCCCTTCCTCCCGTTCCCTCCTCCAGGAGAACCCCAGCGAGGAGGACGCCGCCATCGTGGACAAGGTCCTCTCCATGCGCGTGGTCAAGAAGGAGGTGAGAGGTTTCCCCGAGCGCCGCCCCGGGCCTTTCCGAGCGGAACCGTCGGCTTTTCCGGGGGCGCCAACTCCTCTTCCTCGCCCCCCGCAGCTCCCGTCGGGACAATTCACGGAGTCGGAGGAGTTCTTCGTCAAGTACAAGAACTAGTAGGTGTCCCCACGAGCTCCTGTGGGTGGTGGCACCTCGCGTGGCTTCAGGGACCCCAAATTTGGCCCCGATTGGCTCGTTAACTCTTGGCCCTAATGACGGCGCGCTCCTGCCCGGGCTGACCGTTGTCCCCGTTGTCCCACCAGCTCCTACCTGCACTGCGAGTGGGCCACCATTGCCCAGCTGGAGAAGGACAAGAGGATCCACCAGAAGCTGAAGCGCTTCAAGACCAAGATGACGCAGATGCGGCATTTCTTCCACGAGGTAACGCGGTGGGGACGGGCTGGGGGGACGGCGGCGACGGGCGCCGCGTCCTCGTCCTCCTCCTCACGGCGCCGCTCCGCAAGGATGAGGAGCCCTTCAACCCGGACTACGTGGAGGTGGACCGCATCCTGGACGAGTCGCACAGCGTGGACAAGGACAACGGCGAGGTGAGACGGGTGGCACCTTCATGGGAGGTGGTGGTAT